CGAAGTGACTGTGCACATAATAAATTACTCACACTTTAGCCCTGGAGTCAATCATGTCTCTAAGAGTCATCTTAGCTTACAGTGAGGCTCTGTGTTTCATTCAGTAAGATAAGAACTTTTTTTTCTTTTTTTCCGAGACAGGGTTTCCTGTAGTTCTTTAGAGCCTGTCCTGGAACTAGTTCTTGTAGACCAGGCTGGCCTTGAACTCACAGAGATCCACCTGCCTCTGCCTCCCGAGTGCTTGGATTAAAAACAGGCTCCACTACCGCCAGCTGATAAGAGCTTTTCTATGTGAACCAAACAGGATACAAGAACAGGAGGTGCTGGAGAGCGCCTTTTAAGAGCCCTTGCTGCTCTTGCAGAGGACTTGGGTTTAGTTCCTAGCACTGGATCCAGCAATTCCCTACTCTCTGTTATAACTCCAACTCCAGGAGGCCTGACACCCTCTGGCTTCTGGATGCGGTGCACATAAACTCACTCAGGCACATACACATCAATTTTAAAGAAAAAGAATGGAAAATGTGTGTTTTCACAAATGTGTGCGATCTAAGTGTCCTACCTACAGCTCACATGCCTCATGCAGTCTAATCTAGAAATCATAACTTCATTTAAACATGAGATTTAGAATATTTATATAAAACTCGATCGTACGGTTCCAGATCAAGAATGTTACAGATGACAAAAATCATGTGGCAGTGTCGAAATGTTGGGTGCTCCGGGAAGCCAAAGCTGCCACACCATTCTAGGTCAGTGGTGATCTCTACAAACCCCAGCTTATGTGGGTGGGACAGTCACGAACACCTTTACCCTCTGAATAAACCATTTCCAAGCTGTTACAGCCTCATAGCTTAGAGCAGCACCAGGCTTAGAATCCAGTTCCTGGTTCAATCTGCAGCTTAGCTCTTCTGAGCTCCTCTTTGTTTTCTATTGATTAAAAAAAAAAAAAAAAGCAAAAACAAACAAACAAGAAATAATTTCAAATTATCTTTAAACCTTTTGAAAAGTGTTTGTCTGCATCAATGTATACGCACCATGTGCCTTCAAGTGCCCAGAGAGGCCAGAGAGGCCAGAGAGGTTATCCTCTTTCCTGGAACTAGAGTTGCAGACAGTTGTGAGGCACCGCCTGGGTGCTGGGAACCAAATCTGGGTTCTCTGCAGATTTGCCTCTAATGCCAGCTTCCGGGGATCTGACATCCCTGGCCTCCACATACGGTGCACGTGAATATACTCAGGTACACACACACAAATAAAACAAATGAGTGGCGAGTGGGAAGTGCATGAGTCACATCCGCGCTGAGCCATCTCCCCAACCCTATCACCATTCTAAATGGGATCTAACAAAAGCAGTTTCTTAAGATTTACTCTTTAATTGACAAAATACATAAACATATGGATTTGTCCTATGCATGCTGTTGTGACATTTTTAAATATCCTGGGATGGCTAAATCAAGTTGACAACATCCATTTCCTCACATACTGTCATATTTACCTTCATTTATAGTGAGGAAAATTAAAATCTACTCTTGTCACTATTTTCAGTCCTGTGCTATTTTTTTAATTGTGCTCATTATTATGTATATATTTGTATGATATTGTGGAGGGGTGCAGACACACTTGGGTCTGTATGGTGCATGTTAGAGGACAACTTTCAGAAGTCGGTTCTCACCTTCTCCAGTGGGTGACTGAACTCAAGCCACGAGGGTTGCATGGTAAACACTTCTACTCTGGGGGCCCTCTTGTCAGGTAGACCCAGTAGTTAGTCATCATGTTTTATAATAATACTAATTTATTCCTTTAGTCTAACTGCAGCTTTGTATCTTTTGACCAACAGCATCCTTCAAATCCTTTCCTATTATGCCCAGCCCCTGGTAGCGTCATTCCTTTCTATTTCTGCAAGTTCCACTTTATTATTCTTGTATATAATTGATATCTTGTGGTATTTGTTTGCAATTCCCAAAATCTTTCATATAAAATCGTTAGGGATTTTTTTATAGTTAAATAATATTCTATTGTGTATACATACAACACTTTCTTTAGCTATTCATCCACTGATGGGTACTTTGCTCCATTTCACATCCCAGCTCTTGTGAATAAGATATCAGTGAGCATAGGGACCCACATGCACCTTTGATGTGTTGATTTTATGTCCTTTCAATGTACACTCAGCAGTTACATCTGGTAGATGCTTGGTCCTGTGGCAGTTCTAGTTTGATTTCTTTTGAGGAATTTTCTATTGGTTTCCATAGCAACTCTACCACCTTACATTCCCAGCAGCAACGGACAAGGGCTCCCTTTAGTGTACATACTCACCAATCCTTGTCATTTTTCCAGTGTGGATAGTAGCTGGCCTAACAGCTATGAGGTGACAGTTCCTTGTGATGTTGATTTCATTTAGATTCTAATTAGCAAGTTTGAGCTGTCTTTCATATAGCTGTTGGTCATTTGCTCATCATCCTCTTTTGAGTGTCTGTTACCCATTTGTAATAATGTTGAGAAAAGTTCTTTATATAGTATGCCTATATAGCGAGAGATATGGATGTATAACATGGCATATTTAGAGTGATGATTGTTTCTTCTGTGATTTAGTCATTTAGTTTGGTGAAATTCCCCCGAGATTGTCTTGGAAACTGTGAACTGTCCCAGGTACATGACAGACAGGAGCCAACAAAAGAAGTACAGCGTTCAGTGCAAAAAATGTTGGTTTGAGGGGTCAAGCTACCGGCCATCACTGGGTCTTTTGACTTTCACACATTCTTTAAGACACAAAGCTAACGTTCTGAAGACTCTGAGCTATTGATATTTCCGTCAGACTTAATGAAAAGCTGGTATCACCTTCCACTCTTACATAGCCTTCTTGGGTCGAGTTTGTATGCTTGCAAGTTATAGAGTCGTCCTCCAGAGTTCAAAGTGGAAGAGGAGCTGTGGAGGAACTGGAATCTCCCCGACAAGCTATCAAATGGCACTGTGCAACGTGACTGACCCTCACAAGATACTCTATGACTAATACAACATATTTTAAATCCTAATCTAGTCCAGCTTCGTGCCGTCATTCTAATATACATCTACTCCAGCTATTTCTACAGCTCTCTAATCACGGTTCTTGGGGCTTTTTCTGTTCTCATTATCTGCCCTCCTTTCCCGTTCCCCTCACCCCTTACACACATCCAGAGAAGCCCATCATGCTTGCCTCCATTAAATCCCAACCTTCCCAGCTCCATCACTTTCTTTGTTCTAGTGTCTGAGGATTGCTTCTGTAGCCTTTCCTTTGCCTGGGTACAGTCCATAGGAGCCTGATGATTTGGCGCCCTCCAGGGGCACATCTGTCAGTCCTGTCCTACTCAGTGGTGAAGGGGAAGTGAACACCGGGCCTAGAAGGACCTACAGGCTTCCTAGTGTGACTGGGATTTATTTATTTATTTATTTATTTATTTATTTATTTATTTATTTTTCTTAATTTACTTTTCCCTTCCCTTTATTCCCTCCAGCTCTCCTGTACTACCCCCTCCCCCCCACTCTCAAGTTGTTAATCTCTTCTCCTGTGGTAATTACTACTGTGTGTGTGAATATATATA